AAACCAAGAGCCCCCTGATGCCATTATTTGCTTTTGACATACAGGATTATCTGATCTTGTTATTTCCTCAGAAGTTACCACTCTGATTCCAATTTTTTTTAGGAGGATCAGATGCTATTGAGGATCCAACTCTACGTATGTAAATATAAGTAACAACATTTTTGTAGGTAGAAACTTTCTGCTCTTGAGTTCAATAATTATACAAATGAATTTGCTTATAAGAGACTGACTTTACTCCAATTGTCATAAAAGTCTTGGGAGGATCCATAAGTAATTAATTCCAAAACAGTGCATAATAAAACATGTACCACAGGACACACGAAATAAACAGGTATTATTTCCACAATAGTAACAGACTTTGAATGAAGTTGACTTTTAAATTAAAGCAAAAATATTCTGTAAGTTATTTCCCTGTAAGAAATTTGATTGCAATGAAATTATTTTTTCCCCAGCTGAAGACATTTCTGATTTAGTTTCAGTAATTAAAAGAATAACAACTAGGTCCCTCAATCAGTTGTACCAATACCCAATTATTCTTACATCATTTTGAAACATTTAAGGACCTTATTCCATACAGACATATATCTAGTAATAGGCAGATGTCTAGGCCAAATAACTCAATTACTAAGTTGTTTAAGATATAGAAAGGAATATAAATTTTAGGCTGAATAGTTAAGATCTTAAACATACATTTTATTAGTGTATTTAGCTCAAATGTATCCCAGCCTTGGTCTGTGGTATAATGATTCACCTTTGTTTCACAAACTTTTTTTTCCTTTGTCTAATTATTCCCATATCATTCAGAAAGACTGTTCTGTTCCAAGTATTTAATCTTTCACATGACTATGCAAGAGTACTAATTTACCCAACTGTTTGGGATATGGGATGACTACACATTCAGACTGAAAACAGCAAGATTTCACATGATAGCATTGTGTTTACATCTTTTACTGACCACTTGCTTCGATTATAGAAATTTGCCTTTAAAAAAAGGAAAAGCAAGGATATGATTAGATAAAACATCACAGTTTTCCAACCATGCAGTATCAATTCCACCTCAGGAATAGTTAGGTAGGAAACATTCTTTTTCAAAAGAGTATAATGAGGAAACTGAGCCAGGAGGATCCCATCTTAGATTGAGGCTAAGACTGTCCTCTCAGCTTTTCCAGATGCAGAGCTCCACCTGTAACAGTCACATCTCTCAGAGTAGCTTGTGACATTTCTCTCAGATGGTGGATTATTGACTACTGATTATTATTAATAATCATACTTTGCCTATAAGAGACTTTTTTTTTTTGGTGAGGCAATGGGGGTTAAGTCACTTGCCCAGGATCACACAGCTAGTGTCAAGTGTCTAAGGTTGGATTTGAACTCAGGTCCTCCTAACTCCAGGGCTGGAGCTCTATCCACTACGCCATCTAGCTGCCCCTTGACTATTGATTATTGATGGATTTTTTATGATCCATCAGACAACTCAAAACACAATTCGTTATGGTCCCATAAGCTTTTACCTCAGATGGCAAGTTTCACCAATGAAAAATTGACCAGGACTCAAATCTCAAATTTAAACTTGTCCTCATGCAAAAGCCAATCACAAGAGATCATTTCTATATACTTGCAAATTCTCAGCAAACCAAGTTCCTTGTTTAGAAATTCCATAGCCCAAACAAGCTCTTTGGCAAGCTTACAAAATTAAGTAGGATCCAAAGGGACCCCAGAGAAGGTGCTTCCTATTCACCCCATCTACCCTTAGAGCTGCTGCCATGGGCTGTGCTTTTGACCAGCCCTGTGGACTGCTGACAAGCTGGGTGGAACCAATCAGGATGAGGCTTTGGACTCATCCCCCTCCTTTACACACACACACACACACACACACACACACGCACACACACACACACACAATCAATTACCAGCTTTAGGTTTTAGCATTAAAACAATAACCAACAATCTTACAATTTTCATTACGTGATAGCCAAATTGTTTTAGCTATAATACAAACAGTAAACTTCACATGACATCAATTGCATTTGCAGATCATATAAAAGTTACTGATAAAAGGATGGGCTGGCTTACCAAGTGCAGATGCTGACTGACTTCTTTACCTTGACCCATTCCCCTTCCCTGTCTCCCCATGGTTATAAAGGCTGCTCGAAGTTGCTTGTGCTGGACTTGGATGATACTCTCTTTTCCTAATCTGATCTGAGATGAGAGGGGTTAACACAAAAACTCCGGGGCTGTTGGCAGTCCCCGGTTCTAAGATACCCTCTTGACTTACGGGGGAGGAAAGTGGGGGAAGGGAATGACGAGATTGTAAGGAAGTTGTTTCAAAACTCCTTAATGACTAATCTCAAAACTTCCAGAAACTGCTAAGATATTTTTAGCTGCCCTAACTTTTTCACTTCTACATCCACCCTCTAAAACTTAGAGTGTGGCATTGTACCTTTCAAAACTACATTCACAAGACTAGTGCCCTTTCTGATGGTACTTGAAGCACAAACCATTGACTCTGTTTCTCTGAAAGCACCCATTTAAGGCCAATCCAAGAATGCAACAAACCTAGGAATGAACCTCGGAAATTCACTGTAGGTTTGAACATAATTGTTATCAATATCAAATTATTGCAACAAATTAGCTTGCAAATGGAAATTTAGTAGGCCTTCGTACACAGAAGATTTTGCAAAACATTTCTTTGTTAAAAATATTTCCTTTTCTAATAAAAAATAAAAAGCTTACAATTTATTCTGATGTTAAAAGGAATAATCATTAAACTTTCATGAAGTAAATGAGGTGAAGCCTTAAATATTGGAATTTATCAAAATCAAGTTGGTATAAAATATCTTTTAAGTAACACAAGTCCTCAAAGTGCCATAAGACTTTGCACAGGGTTGATAAGAATTTATGGCTAGATAGTTCCAAAAATCCTTGTCTTAGTTAACAACCTCATGATCTGACAGTACAATTCTTAATCTAACAACATCTAGATTATAAGAGAAATCGCATTTCTAATAACATAGGGGATATAATTGTTAACCAAATTACACAATATAAGAAAATTTAGAAATAAAACCAGACCATAAGCACATATCCTGTTTTTAAAACTTGAAATAAAACCAATTAATTACCAATCAGGAGGCATTGATTTAGTTGGATGAGCAAATCAGATCCGGATTCATACCCACTAAGGGTAGCATTTTAATTTCTAAGGCCCAAAACTCTTAGCACTTTAAAAGAAAAGATTATTATCCATAAATTCACATTTTTTTGAAGACATGTGGTGACAATTGCCAGCTCCAAATAACATTTTACTTCCTTGTGCTGGAGTTCCCTGTCCCTTTCATCTTTGAGATCTATCAGATCCCTAAGCATTCCAGCTCTCCATTCCCAATCGTCCCTAGAATTTCGAGCTGCATGTGTTAGAAATGCATATAAAGTTTTAAGTTAACAGCAGAGGGCACAGAGACCCTGAAACCAGGGTGCAGGGTGATGGGGGACTTGGGTGCCTGTGCTTGGATCCCAATTTCTCCCTGGCCTCAGAAACACTATCCCTGGCAGTTTTCCTCCAGCCCAAGGACCCTGTCTCTGGCAGTATGACTCTTGAGTGAGTCCAGTGAGGCAACTATCTCTCCCTGTTACAAGAACAAACTGACCTCTTTAGAATTTCCCTTATATGAACAACGACTATCTTGTACCAGCAGAACTATCAAGTACTGATGCCCACAGTTACTTATACAATCCTGAGGTCAAGCTATAGACGTCAATTCCTGAAACTATCTTGTTTGAGACAGACCAAAAACCACCCTTAGGAAACACCCCTCCCAGGTTTCCAGTAGAGAATGACATAGTTGTATGTTATCACCTAATTAGCATACTTGGCACATAATCCACTACTTTTCCTATATAAGCTTTAGCATCATTCCTGTTAGGTTGCAAGTTCCCTAAGGAGCTCTACCTACTATGACAGAATTCCTTAAGGACCTCTGCATGCTGTATAGCATAACAATAAATCTTTGCCACCTTGACTTAAAGAATGCTTGAGTCTGTGAATTCATTCCCGACAACCCAGTCTTGTACTCTGGTCCTTGAGAAGTCTAAATCTCTCAAACCACAACACAGGAACCCCTAAAGAAAGCCAGGCACAGAGGCTCACCTACCTGCTTCCCCCAACATCCCATGGAGGTGGAGAAGGAGCAACACAGGGTAAACCAGGGTGCAGGGAGAATAAAAGCCTACTCAAGTAGAGCAAGGTGCCTTTTCTTTAAGTTTTGGAGACCAAATTTCTTACTAAGCTTGTCTTGTTTAGAAATCCCCTTCAGGGGACAGCTAGGTGGCACAGTGGATAGTGCTCTGACTTTGCAGTCAGGAGGACCTGAGTTCAAATCTAGCCTCAGACACTTGACACTTACTGGCTGTATGACCCTGGGCAAGTCACTTAACCCCAACTGCCTCACCAAAAACAAAACAAACAAATAAAAGAAGGCCCCTTCACAAATCACTTTTCTAGATTACATCAAGGTCAGGAAGTGTTAACAATGGAACACTAGGCGTTTTTCCTTAAGATCTCCTTCACCAAATTTTCCATCCTAGCAGTCTCCTAGCAGTCTCTCTCAGCTCTTTTCAGCATCCCAAGACAAAGGAGAGAAAAAATGTGACCCACCCAGTGCAAGGATATCCCCTTATACAAGGGTCCACAGTCCAACTGACCACTCAAAAGTCAGTGAAGCTTCAGATGCTACGAACTTAATAGTTCATAGATTTCTATAGCAAAATTATAACTAAAAAAAACTGGCAGCAATATCCAACAATTGAGAAATATTTGAACAAATACCATGATACAACTAAGAAAGACATGTATTATGGAATGTATTGAAATTCATTTATTTAAATGAATACCAATACCAGATACCAATTTGGAAGAAGTAGTGAAACTTGCCTTTTGAGGTAAAAGCTTATGGGACCATAATGAATTGTGTTTTGAGTTGTCTGATGGATCATAAAAAAATCTATCCAGATGCCACTGGATGCCACAGTGTTTGGGCACTCCAGGGGTCTCGAAGCCAAGGAGACACCAGGAACAAAAAGGTCTGGGGAAAAGAACAAAGAAAAGGGTACTTAGCTCTGGTGGCTACGAGAAGGTCAGTGGAGTCCAATTAATATTTGGACTCCCGGGTCTTGGCACCATAAATGTTGAGGTCAGAGTTGGGAGAGTGGTTCAGGTGTGAAAGAATTCACTTAGAGTTCTCTTAGCCATTCATGGGTAGCTTTATTTAATGTGTCAGCAACACAGGTCTCCTTAGCAAGAAAGCCAAATGAGACCCTGATATTTGGGGGAGTTAAGCTTATAAAGAGTTTTTTTGGTAGTTTTAGGGGTTTTATGAGGCTTAAAGATAAGGACAGGGGCACACAGGATAAGGGGAAAAAAGCAATTCTTTTAGTACAAGTTAAGAAGAAGTTTTATGGTATTTCAAGATAAGGGGAAAGGGACTTTAGGAGGCTCTCAAACTCAGGAGGGGCCTCACAAAGTACTGGAAAAGCAACCCTTAATATTCTTTTTAACTGTTAGGGTATTGTTTATATCCACATCAAAAAGATGAAATGGAAGAAATACCAAATGATAAATTAAATTGAATATTAAATATATTAAAGGACACAAAAGGTAAATTTAATTCAGTTTTTAAAAAAAGAAAGAAGGAACAACTAGGGAAATTACAATTGTGACATTCCAAAATTACAAAGTTACATTAAATGACTTTCAAAACAACAATGGTATTGACAATAGTGATAGCTAGCATTTATATTACATAATACATATATAATTACATTTTATCCTCACAACAACCCTGAACAGTAGGTACTATTGTTATATCCATTTTACAGATGAGGAAACTGAGGCAGATAGGTTAAGTGGCTTCCCCCAGTGTCACAAGTAACAGAATAGATGAGGTTGAACAAAAATCAATAGAGAGTAAAAATTAATTTGAAGAATAGGCCCAAGCTATAATAGAAATGAAAAAGGAACTAATAGATATGCAGAATAGAATAACAGATTTGGAAGGAAAAGCAGAGAGTACAAACATTAGAAAAATTGGGATTCTCTAAGACACTGCAAAATGTTTTACAAATTAGATACTATATTTAAAGGAAAAATCTTTCCAGAATGACAAGATCTGGTATTATTCTTCAAAGAGAATGTTGACATATATGAAGAATTCAGTAGCTGGGGAAGGGAAAAGGAGAGAAAATAAATGCTTGTTATTTGAAAAAAATTAATTTTATTAAGAAAAAGTTTATGTGAAAATACATGTGAAGAAATCTAAACTATGAACAATCAGTACACATAACTGTTGAACCACAAAATTACAAAGACAAAAATTCTTCAAGTATGAAGAAAAAAATTAGATTACATTTTTAAAAAATATTTTTTTTGGCAATTTTTAACTTGGTAAACATCACCCAACATGAGTACTTCCATATGCCAAGAAGAGAAAGAGGAATGTACATGTGAAACCCAGTAAGAGATTATGTATTTAAAACTTAGAATTAAAGTAATAAGTGATTTCAAAAAATATGAAGGACACTACTAACATTGAACAAAAATACACAAAAGCATTTTAGAAAAGGATTGCAATCCCAAATTACACACCTTAGAAACAAGATTGTATTGAATGAAAAAAAAATTTAAACTATTTCAAAAACAGAAGTGAAAGAATTTAAAAGCAAAAATCAATAACTAAAGAAACTTGTACAAGTCGCAGACGAAGAATTCTAAATTAACGAAGTGACAAATACATAACAAAAATAATAATGTGTTTTGCCTGTGACTAATTGTAATTATGATTTGGGGAATGTGTATATGATATACAAATATGTGCATGCAGAAAGAATGGAAAAGAAAATATGTCCATAATATACATTCTTTTCGAGTGCACATGGAAGGCTAGCAGAAACTTATCACAAAGGATTAAACTATTGAGAAACTATACAAAAATTTTAAGAAGCAAAAATTGGGCAGGCTGTATAACAATAAAGACAGATGACAATTCAATAAAATTGAAATTATATTACAACATGAACAAAAGTTATACAATTATCAAGAATATAGTTTCTAATGCACTTAGCTAAGTAAACTCTTTTGTGGATAATTAGCATCTCATAAGCTATCTTCTTATATGACTAAAGCAGCACCAAACCACAACAAAGTGTAACAGAAATAAATCATTAAAATTTTAATTAAAAACAGCAATGCTCATGCAGCTGTGTTTTAACAGGCATGCTTATTCATTGCTAGTAGAATTGGGAACTTACAAGTTCGGAGGGCAAGATGTGGTAAAAGTTTAAAAAAAAATAAACATACCCTTTGAGTCACTATTTGCCTTGTTGAGTTATACTATGAAATTTTTTTCCAATTTATTGGTTTATAGATTTCTATAGCAAAATTATTTGTAACTGAAAAAAATTGGCAGCAATATCCAGCAATTGAGAAATGTTTGAACAAATATGATACAATTAAGAAAGACATAAATGGAATGTATCAAGACATTGAAAGAATGCATTAAAATTCATTTACTTAAGTACAAGTGATTGCAAAGCAAGTCAAATTAAATAAAGTGATATTAAATATTAAGAGTATAACAGATTATTTAATAAAAATAATAGAGATAGTAAAAAGCATTGAAGACTTTTGAGCAAGGGATTGTGCTTTAGGAAAATGACTGGCGGCTATGTATCAGATGGATTGGAGAGAGGAGAGATTAGAAGCAAGAAGTCTGTTGCAATAGTTTGGGAAAACTGAAGTGACTAAGACAGAGGCTTTGTGAGTGGAGAACTGGGGAGGAATAAGAGAGGTGTGTAGATAGAACAATACGACTTTGCAACGAATGGCTATGATGGAAAGTCAGTTGGTCAATAAACATTATTAAGCATTATATACCAGCACTGTGCTAAATGCTGGGAATACAAAGAAAAGAAAAGAAAAGAAAAAAAAAGAAAAGAAAGGAAAAGAAAAGAAAAGCTATAGTCCTTGCTCTCAAGGAGTTCACATTCTAATGATGTTGGATTACATGTGAAAAAAAAATTATACAGGAAAGTTGTAATCAGCGTGAATGAAAGGTAAACCCAGAAGGAATGTACTAGTGTATGTTAAGGGCAGGGGAAGGAGGAAAGGAGGGAGTGGTAATGGATGGGAAAAGGCCTTCCTGAAGAAAATGAGATTTGAGTTGAGTCTTAAAGGAAGCCAAAAACGTTAGGAGGTAGATGTGAGGACAGAGAGCATTCTAGGCACGGGGGATGACCAGTGAAAAGGCACAGAGTCAGAAGGAGTGTACTGTTCCAGGAATGGCAAGAAAGCCACTGTCATTGATCCTAGAGTTCATGTACGGAAGTATGGGCCAGGTTGTGAAGGGCTTTAAAAGCCAAAAAGAGGATTTTATATTTGATCCTGGAGGTAATAGGGAGCAATCGGGGTTTATTGAACAGAAGGATGTGCTTTAGGAAAAGCACTTTGGTGAATTAGTGGAAAATGGATTGGAGTGGATAAAGAATTAAGGCAAGGAGAACAACCAGAAGGCTATTGCAATAGGGCAAGTGAGAGGTCCCAAGGGCCTGCTCTAGGAAAGCAACTGTGTGAGTGGAGAAAAGGGGATGCACTAGCGATGTGAAGGTAGAAATAACAAGACGTAGCAACAAGTTAGATATGTGGGACGAGTGTATAAGAAGTCAAGGATGACACCAAATCTGTGAGTCTGGGTAAGACTGAGAGGAGATTGTTGTCCTAGATAGAACTAGAGAAGTTGAGTAGAGAGGACATCTGGGGGGAAAAGATGATGAGTTATGTTTTCTTCATGTTGAATATGAGATGTCTATAGAATATCCAGTTTGACATACCCAATAGGCAATTGGTGAGGGAAAATAGAAGAGGGCCAGGGACAGACCATTCATGCATGTGAACTCAATGAAGGTCTGACAAAGGAGACTGAGAAGGATTTGTCAGATTGCAGGAGAACCAGGAAAGAATAGTGTCATGGAAACCTCAAGAAGAAAGAGTATCCAGGAGAAAAGGGTATCAAAAGTGTCAAAAACTAAACAGTTCAAGACAGATAAAAGACAGATTAAGACAGATTGAGAAATGACCATTACTTTTGGCAATTAAGAAATCATTGGTAACTTAAGCAGGAAGAATCAAAGATGATTCCTAGGTTTTAAAGCTGAGTGATTGGAAGAATGATAGTGTACCCCAAAAAATGTGGAATTTGGGAGGCTAATGGGAAAGAAAGTGAACTATCTTTTGGACATGTAGATATCAATATCCTTTGACCAGGGGTGGGGAAACTGCAGCCTCAAGGCCACATGCAGTCCTCTAGATCTTCAAGTATGCCTTTTGACTGAGTCCAGGTTTTACAGAACAAATTCTTTTATTAAGGGGATTTATTCTGTGAAGTTTGAATTCAGTCAAAGGGCTGCACTTGAGGACCTAGAGGGCTACATGTGGCCTCAAGGCCATAGGTTCCGCACCCTTGCTTTAGCCTGAATCTAACTTTTGATGGTACGTTGGCTTGTGATTATGTCTAATTTATATTGTGCTAGAATGTAACATAGTTTGGACCAGCACTACAACAGATAAAACAAATGAAAATTGCCAGATGTGTAGTCTTGGACACTAGAACTTTTGTTTTCCTATTTTAATTTATATTTACTTGAAGCCACAGCTACACTGAAGGAGCTGTTTTAGAGATTCACTCAAAGGGCTTAGACAAAAACATACCTGATCAGTGGAATTTGATTAAATACTCTGGGTATGAGTGGTCATCAAAAAAGGTTACAAATATCTTTGGCATACCCACTGAGTCAACCAAGCTATCATATCTCCCTCCTCCTGGCTTTTCTGGAGGTAATGTTATTGACGAATGACCGTTAGAGTACTCTCCAGTAAGGACACGGACCTGGAACATATGCTTGGATCCTTGGTGGCTTTTTCCACAATAGTGGGAGGACAAATGAGCATCCACTGCAAAGTAGATCCCCTGGCCATACCGTCCATCTAGAAAAAATAAGGACTTGTTAACTAAATCTTAGATATAAAACAAAGGAGAAGCTAAATATCCCTTGCGACAGATGAATACAGGTTGCAGTAGGAACAATAGTAGCAACAATTCCTATTCCAATGTGATCTAGGATAGTTTTTCCTTAAAAGGTATTGAGATCATCCCCAAGACTTGGTTGGCATGGTGAATTAAAGTATTGGGCTTTTGACATCACTTACTGGTTACTGAGTGCAAAGCAAATGTGAAGAGCTCCTGGCGACCTGATGCTTGCCTGGTGGATCACAAGAGGTAACTCAGGCAAGGGAGACTTACTTAACTGAATCAACTACAGGGATCCTCAGTGCCCATCTTTATTAAATATCCTTCTCTGTGCTTGGCTAAGTAAATCATCTTTGAATGACCTACAAGTATTTCATTTTGTTCCATTATCACACCTAAACTACCAGGGGACAGGTGTAATCAAGTCAGCCCAGAACTCAGGAAAAATAAACCTGAATTTCAGTCATTTCAGTAGCATTAAGCCCTACCCTCTCTCAGCTGTGGCATACTCACTTTCCCTACAGGTGCTTTTTAGTCCATTTTCAATGATGGATGAGCAGTTCTGTGCTGGTGTTCCATGGAAGAGGAATTTCTCATTCTGTATTCCTGGGGGATTCTTTTTCTCCATCCAGTTCCGCTTGTAAATATAAGAGGTCCAGAGATATGGGTTTTGTATTCTTTCTATCTAAATATCAAAATCAAAGAGAGAGGACTAATTATCATTCAGATGAGATTAATATATATATTTTTCCATTTATCTTTTTTTAAAATTAACTTATTTATTTTTAGTTTTCGACATTCACTTCCACAAGATTTTGAGTTTTAAATTTTCTCCCCATCTCCTCCCTCCCCCACTCCAAAACGGCATGTGTTCTGAATACCCCTAATCTGCCCTCCCTTCTATCTTTCCCCCACTTCTCTTATCCCCTTCCCCTTCAATTTTCCTGTAGGGCAGGATAGATTTTTATACCCCATTTCCTGTATATCTTATTTCCCAGTTGCATGCAAAAACAATTTTTTTTTATCTTTTGTTTTTAAAATTTTGGGTTCCAGATTAATATATTTTTCTAGGTATATTTTGTTTTCATAACACCTTCATTTCCAAATGAGACTTAACTGAATGAGTAATTCCCAATGTAGACCACTAAAAGTTCCCATATCTATTTCTAGAGCTAGGAAGCTCTAGCATCTCTCCTTCTTTTAATAGTGATGGTCCTTTGAACCCTATGAAATGAGAGATTAGGAATGGGAGGTTAAATTTCATGTTGTCTTTTTTTCTAACTTTTGGTTATTTCATACATGAATATGGTGTAGTGGAAACAGCAGACATTGGACTGGGAGTCAGAAGACCTGGGTTCTAGACCTGGTTGTATTAGCTATATGATGCTGAGCAAGATGCTTCCTCTCTCAGGGCCTCAGTTTCTCCATTTGTTAAATAAAATGTTTGGATTAGATGATGTCTAAGATCCCTTCCAGCTACAGTCTAAACCCAGACATATTATCTTAAAGATTACTCATAACTAGCTTAGGAGAAAGGAAGTAGTGGGAAAAAGAGAGAAGGGAGATAATAATAAATGTGAAGGAGACAATAAAGAATTTTTTTTAGGGATAGTGGTCTTTATAATATGTCAACAATATTGTAATAATGTTATATTCAACAGTGTTTCCTTGGACATTGAGTTAATGAGCATAATCACTTATTCGTTAAACATAATTCACCTTAAGGATGGTACTCTTGTCCATGGAGTGCTTGAACTTCTTGGCTACTCTCTGGTACTCCACTAGATTTGGTGGGAGTTTCACAATCTTCACTGGGTCATCATTCATTGGTTCCCAATGCTCAGGGATGCTCATCTCTATTACAAAAGGTTGGAAATATCTTTAGAAACTTAAGTGAAATCTGTGAGTTTTCCTATTTCTTATATTGGGATGCTTTATTTTTTTCTTTTTCAATGCATTTATGTTCTGTTTTGTATTGGTAGTTTTCTGTATATGTAGTCTAACCTTGGCAATACCCACAGGAAGCAGAAAGACTTGGCTGATGGGACTAATTACCCAGATTCCCAACTCCTACCCAAATATTGACCCTAATCTTAAGTTTGAAGGAGTGGGAAGAAGAAACAGGAAGCCATCACAAGTATGAAGATGCAAGAGTGATGGCCCTCATGAGACCTCAGGGAGGACCCATAAGGAGCAACTGCCAGGAAGAGCTATTTCAAGCAGGCAGGGATTAAACCAAAATGAATAGCCATGATGATCCTGTGGGGTGATCCTGGGATGATAAGGGAGAAAGACTATGACATCCTTTTCTTTTTCCTCTTTCCCACTGTCCAGGAGGGGTGCCAAATGTATGGTGGGTTGTAAACTCACTTCATCCCTACCACGCTATTTGAAGACTGGAGAATCAGGAAACAAAGGGAAAGACTCAAAAAACTTTAGTCATTTTCCTAAATGACTTTTATTTTTACTTCTAAGCTGTTAAATGTGATTTAAAAAACAAAACTGTTGGCCAAGAAACACTGGAATTGCTTGTTGTATTTTATTTAATATTCAGATATAGATAAGGCCAAAAAGGAATTTCCCCTTTACTAGATAAACATCTGGTTCAATTGAACTGAACCGAGAGACTGGAACAGAAAAGGAAGATAAGGAGAGAGACTGGTATTGGACTTTCACAAACCCTTATAATAGTATCTAAGACCATTTGTTGTTGTTCAGTCATTTCAGTGTGTCTGACTCTTTGTGACCCCCACTTGGGGTTTTCTTGGCAAAGATGCTGGAGTGGTTTGCCATTTCCTTCCCCAGCTCATGTTATAGATGAAAAACTCAGGCAAACAGGGTTAAGTGACTTGCTCAGGTCATCCAGCTAGTAAATGTCCGAGGTCAGATTTGAACCCAGAAAGATGAATCTTCCTGACTTCAGTCCTGCCACTCTATCCACTATATCACCTAGTTGTCCAAATTCAAAACTAAGGTATTGTAAAATTGTTTTGTTTTTTGGTTTTTGGTTTTGTTTTGTTTCGTTGTTGGGTTGTTTAGAGTTTTTTTTAGGGAGGGGAGGGGTGGGAAGGAGACAACAAGCCAGAGGCAGTGTATAATTGAGAAGCAGAAGTCACCTTTTCAAGGAATATGACACAGGGCTTTCCTATCATACTTCAAAATCACTAATATCTGAGAAGAAAGAGAATATTGATTGCTCACATGCCTTAGACTAGCTCAACCATAGCAACCTAACCACATGATCAGTGCCTAACCTTGCTCATCAGTGCCCCTTGGGATATATACATATATATATATATGTGCATATGTCACATTTCCCTACTTGAATATGCTAATTACATTTCCCCCAGCACTTAGCACTGCATTCTACACACATTAGGTGCCTAATAAATGTTTGTTGAATTAAATATTGAGAATTTTCTAGAAATGGTCAGCTGCCATTTTGTTCCTAGGATCCAAGGAGAGAATGTTTTGTTATTGGAGCTACGTATTCCTATATTAAAGAAGGGAATGAAATAAACATATGGGATAGTTTATCCTCACATTTGGCTTTAAGATATTTATCTGCTTTTCTTTATTACTTAGAAGAGTTTTATTTCCTTCTGAGTTCGGGAAGCAGTGTGCCCTTGTTTGGCCCTATATATAGTATGCACTTAATAAATGTTTGTTCAATTGAGTGGCCACATTTGTTTCTGAACTCTTAACAACTTAAAGGCTAGAGTATCTTTTTCATTGTTCCTTTTTTAGCCAGTTAACTGAATCTTGGGAAAGGGGAAATGAAAAGCACATTAGACACCTTTGTTCAGAGTTCTGATAAAAAAAAAATTAAGTGGGAGAAAAAATTAAAAATTATTAACATGACCTTCCTGTCTGTTAGTAATTGGTAAAGTACAAATGTAGAAATCTATAGTATTATTAGTTACAGTTTTATTTAACATTTCAGAGAATGTCCTGGGGGTGGTATCATTTAGATATTTGAGGGAAAGTGTTCAAATACAAAGTATTAGTAAAAATAAAATAGAGGCTAGAATGATTGGCTAAAGTGCCTTTTGGATTATCAGTGGACTTCAAATATTTATGTTTCTCCCATTATCAGCAATTAGGAAATTGACTAGATAGAGCACCCCAGTGAAAAAATAGTGCAGAACAAGGTTGAGTAACACCTCAAATTTCCAATTTTCTAAGTTCCATAAACATCATCCAAGATTCATATTAACAATTTATGTCAATGACCACCTCTTGCTCCTATTTAAGAGAAATTATTGAGGATGAATATGGGAAGGAATGAGAGCTTAAAGAAAAGGATAAATCCAAGTAAACCCCCAATAAGTGAGAAATGAAAATTAAAGGGAAGGGAGAACTCACCCCATATGTAGATTTCCCGCTTTATTTTAAAGATTGTCCCTGTGTCTGGCACCAAACCTTTTCTCTTCTTCAAGTTGACCTGGGTTCTTCTGGAATCCAAGATGATTTCAATGTTCTCTTCTTCCTTCCTATATGCTGTTTCCAGCTTTAGGTTTATGGTTTTGTCGAATGGGGAAAGACCTGTGTTCCCAATGTCATACTTCCACTGAACCACTGATTTCAGGGCTTCTGCTCTTTCTGTGTCCTGAGCTTCCTGGATGAGAGTTTGGACAGCAGTGGCAGCTTTCTTCACATCTTCCTGAAAGCCCTGGATCTTTAAGAGGTTTCCATGACGATGCAGATTGAGAGGGAAATAGTACCCTTGATCCAAGACCTCTTGAAGACAGTCTTCACTGAAAGTGACTATTTTATCACTGTTGAATGTTTCACTGTAAAACCCATTCATAAAGTCCTCAAAAGCTTCTTGAAATTTGGCTAAATTCATCTCCCTACCTAATACCTGAACCAGTCCTAGTGGAGAGTTACCTGAGAACAGAGATAAGAGATTTGTAATGAGTCAAATATCCCAGATTCTTGAAAAGGAAGCAAAACCTGACCCATTCTGACCCCATGCTGCCTATGAAGGGCCTAGAATAATGGGATGCATAAGGAAAGGTCAGAAGAATTGAAATTACTTAGTCTGAAAAAAGGCTGAATAATTGCCTTCAGTTTCTGAAGGATTAGCATGTAGAAAATGGGAATAACTATTTTCTAATTTAACTGCTATCAGGAAAATAATGAATTGTACTAGAACTCTAGCAAAGGGCTAAGGTTTCAGAAACATGTTTGCAAAGGATAGTTAAAAAACTACATTGATTAGATTGATCTCTCTCTCTCTCCCCTTCTCTTCATATATTGAGCTTCTAATAGTACCCATGGACATTCTTAATGCTGTTAATGGCAACCCACTTAGCTTGTGGACCCAAGACAAGATGACTTGTGGAAGTCCCCAACTTTCAAGTACTATTTTAAAAAAATTAAATGAATAAATAGAGAGCAAACTGTGGAAGGATGACAAGGTCAGGATTTTTTTTTTTAAATTTTTAAGATTGACAAGATGGAATTTCCACTTATTCAGAAACTTATTACATGCAGAAATTTTTATACACAGAATTGTTATATGCATGAATTTCCATATACTCATGAAACCCTAGAAATAGCTGAGGAAGTAGGAGCTGAACTATATAACTTCTAAGATCCTTTTACAAATCTAACCTACAGTGATAAAAATATGAAGTTCAATTTAGAGGAAACTACTACTCCCTTTCTTTTCACCAATATCACTGGCTGACTGAGTTTCAATTAGAGTATGGCTAGTTATCAACGGTTTAATTAGAGGCACCAGGTGATACAATAGATAGATTTCAGGAATGGGATTCAGGAAAACCAGAATTCAAATCCAACTTCAAATACTTACTAGATATGTGCTCCTGGACAAATCTTTAACCTCAACTGTAAAATGGGGATAATAATAGCACTTACCTTACAGGGCTGTCGAGAGGATCAAATGAAATAATATTTATAAAAGCACTTGTGTTTGGCCCATAGTAAGCACTATATAAATGCCTATTCTCTTCCTTAACTAGTTGTTATATCTGAATGGCTTGATGCTGATTGATAGCTCAGTCAACTAGTAACAGTGAGCCTCCTCCTCTTTCTTCTTCCCTTTCTCCTCCTACACATTGGTCCCTTCGACAGATTCAACACTAAAAGAAGGCACAGAGCAGTATTCAAAAGATAATGTGTACCATTGCTCTGAAAATGCTGAGCAACCATAGGCACTATAGTATCTTTAGATTACTGTTTATGTCTCCCCTGCCATTTTGTCAATAACTGGGAAGAGGATACTTCTAGCTAGAACACAATTATCTCCAAACAGGATAATGCCCCAAAATTCCCATGCATCTGGAGATGAAAGCAAAATAATTCAGCTATTTACTAGGGATCCCAGAGAACAGGACATCTCCTCCTCCTTACCAAGAGTAAAATGTTCATTTCTGTATCTTCTGAGAATCTTCAGGAGCTCACGGACAGATGTCTAAGAGGAAGAAAGAGGGAGAAACCTACTAAATACATTAGCAAAACATGACATTCCACAGAAGACTTGGAGAAGATCTTTCTTTTGACTACTTTACATGATCCTGAGTTTCAGAAGCTTATAAACTATTCTTCCATTTCTCATTTAGAAAGTTTTTTTCTAATCTAAAAAACAAAAAACTAATTGAACTAAAGGACTTGAAGAGAACACTGATATTTGACCAATGATGCAGTCTGGTTAGATTGGAATCCTTCCCCCAGAGGGAAGATGGGGAACAGGCACACAAAATTATTGATTGAATTACTGGGGAATCCATTAAGAGCAATCCTGAAGTGCTGCTAACCCCTGTGTTCATCTCTATTTGGTGATAATTAGTATATTCAGAGGTAGCTAGGTTCTGCTTGCCCCAGATTGGTTTATTTGTAGAGTCCTGATTCCCTAGACTACCTAGCATTTAAAAAACATTGTTCATCCTAACAATCATGACATTCAGAATCAAACTTTACAAGTTTGGAGAGGGTTGGTGGCCCCAGATTATTTCACTTGCTACTTTGCTTCCTGGAACCAGAACCAAGATTGAAGCCCAGGACACTATCCACTAAATTGGTTTGTAAACTGTCAGTTATCATGGTCAAACATATCTACTAAAATGTAATTGGAGAAATATTAGAATATTTCTCAATAAGATCAAGAGTAAGGCAAAGGTGTCCAGTGTCCCCACTATTATTTGATGTGGAGCTAGAAATGCTAGCTATAGCAATTAGATAAGAAAATAAAATCAAGGGAATAAACAGATAAAGAGGAAGCAAAATTATGGTGGCATAATAATATGATTGCTTATTTAAAAAACCTCAGTGATTGAAATTTCAAACATTATTTGAAACAAAAGCTTTAATAAAGTAGCAAGTTTTAAAATATATTAAAAATAAATCCCATTGTTAGTCAGCTGATTATGAGACTCTGTCCTGGTGCCTTGAAATTCTGGACTTGTCTGGTAGAACCACTAAATGATACCCAAGTATGCAAAGAATTATTATGTAGAAGATACTAGTCAGTGTTTATTAAAAAGAGTACAAATAAATGAACCAAAAATGCCACAAGAGAGATGGTGGTTAGACTTCAGGAAGAATGTTTTTTATACTGACCACATGTCAGATTAATATAGAACACATGGGGTGATCCTAATGGACGTTATGAAATGAATAAGTGATGGATATAGATCTACGCATAGAAATTATACTCAAACATGGGAAAATTCATCCCAAGCACAGATGAGAAAAGTTAGAGTGAAAAAAAGGAAGATTGCAAAAGCCAATGAGAGCTAAAATTGGTCAGTGAGGGTTATTTTCTAATATGTCATCAAGTGGGACAAGAACTCAAAATTCAGGACATTCTGGAATAATGGAGGACTTGGTCATGGAATCTTAGAGTTAAAAGGAACTTTAGGAATCATCTAATCTAACTTGTTTCCCAATACTTCAATATTAAAAGTTATTAAACACCAACATTGTGTAATATTTATTTATATACAGTCACCCCTTGTTTTATTGTGCTTTATTGTGCTTTGCAGATGTTGCATTTTTTACAAATTGAAGGTCTGTGGCAAGCCTGCAAGTCTAGCGATGCCATTTTTCCAACAGCATGTGCTCACATCATATCTCTGGGTCACATTTTGATAATTCTCACAATATTTCAAACTTTTTCATCATTATTACATCTATTATGGTGATCTGTGATCTTTGATGTTACTATTGTATTGGGGTACCACAAACCATGCGCATATAAGCGAACTTAACCAATAAATATTGTGTATGTTCTGACTACTCCATTGACTGGCTGTTCTCTGTCTCTCTCCCTCTCCTTGGGCCTCTCTATTCCTTGAGATACAATAAAATTGAAATTAGGACAATTAATAACCCTACAATGGCCCTTAAGTGTTCGAGTAAAAAAAGGAAGAGTCAATTAATGTGACAAATTTCATGGTTGTCTTATTTTAAGAAATTGCCACAGTCACCACAACCTTCAGTAACCACCACCCTGATCAATCAGCAGCCATCAACATTGAGACAAGACCCTCCACCAGCAAAAAGATTATGACTCACTGAAGGCCCAGATGATGGTCAGCATTTTTTAGCAATAAAATATTTTAAAATTAAGGTATGTACATTTTTTAGACATAACACTATTGTGCACTTAATAAACTAGATTACAGTATAAGCATAACTTTTATATGCACAGGGAAACAAAAAAATTCATGTGACTTGCTCTTTTGCAATATTTTCTTTATTCCAGTGGTTTGGGACCAAACCTGCAATATCTCTGAGATGCCTGTACATGTATACATCCTACTAGATTATAAACTTCTTGAGGGAAAGGACAAAATTTGAACTTCCTCCATCATTCAGTACAGTGTTATATGTACTATGCACTTAATAAATATTTAATGAATGAGTGAACACCGAAAAGAGCATAAGCAAGGCTGGGTTCTTTAAAGTCCTCTGAGGATAGAAGAGGCATTTTTCTAGTCTTAGAATAAGGGGAGAGAGGGGGAAGTTCCCTTTCAGTTCTGTAACTTTATCAAGAATTGATGACTCTTACCAGTTCACTTTCCTCCCTACAGGCTGAGACCTCGGAGAGCAAAGCATTTGTAGTTTCCTCTGGTATTTGCATCTTCACCAAACATTGGAGTTCTTCAGCAAATGTGAGAAGAACTGTACCTCCAATCTCCAAAAGATATTGTTGTATTTCTCTCTGCCTTATGGGGATACTTCTCACAGTCAATGAATCTAGATCAGTTTGAACAACTCCTCTGACCTCTTTTATATGTCTTCTCAGTCCTTTTAATTTCAAGATTAAAGTAGAATGGTTGGTCTGAATCCAAATATTCACCTTTAAGTCTCCCCAGTTCATTATCCGAAGTAGGTTTTCTCTGGCTTCAGCCAGCTCCGGTCGGGGGGAAATAATTTTGTCTTCAGTTATTGAATAACTCATCAAATATTCTCGAATATTGAGCTCTGCCTCAGCTACTTCAACCCTACTGCCCACTATGACCACTGAAGTCAAGATATCTTGCTGAGATTTGACACTATAGAAAGTGACTTTCTTTTCACTACTTAGTGCTGTAAGTAGAGCTTCCCATTCTAGACTATTGGCTGCCCACTGGACCTCTTCCCCTATATCAATCTTCTTTTCATAAACCAGGGTCTTCAGCAATTCTTCTGCTTGTACCAATTCTCCAAAGTCAAGCCCCAAAATCATAACTCCATCAGAAGTGTTCAGTACTGCCAAAATATCTCTAGCAAGGAAAAAATTTTCATTGAAGAGTTCTTCCTGGAGGCTCTGGATAAATTGCACTTGAAATGGAGAAAGTGAGATTGGCCAATCCTTAAAACCACTCAGCAGACTATAAAACTGTCTTTCCACCTCAATCACATCCTGTCGGGGTCCCTGAAAAGTAATCATACCTAAAGGATCTTCCTCCAAGGTTATAGTTACTGGAGAGTGAAGAAGAAGGAGCGACTTGCTTATTGTGTTTTTGACCACCATGTATCTAGGCAGATGGAGAATGGGATGTTTCACACACACTGACTTTTTATCGAAAGCCATTTCCCGAAGACGTTGTACAAACATCTTCATTTCCTCAGCTGGCCCTACAAAGCAAGGGCCTTCATATTCTCGTATGGTTGTAAAAGACTTCACTAGTGATTGTTGCTTCTTCAGAACATTTAGAATATCTGAGTTGGACTCGTAGTGAACAGCATATCTCTTCTTATTTTTCTGAAAAGCATCTTCCACAGCTTTCTCCCAGCTAGAGGGATCTAAGTGTTCACCTTCTGCTATAAATTTAAGCACTCCCAAAGAAACACAAGTTTGGAAAACACAGCCTATCTTCCTTAAATCATCTTCAAATTCTTGGAAAACAGCTGGGGAGTCATTAAGGTACTGGACGAAAGCTCGGTCCTCTTTCTGACAGAGACTGATGGCTTCTAGAAGAAAGGAGGAACAGAGTTGACCAATATAAAAATATAAAATAATTTGAATTCATTGTATCCCTTCTTTCTCGTATCTTACTGACTAGGCTGGAGTAAAGGTAGGAATCGGGAAGTAAAGCATGAAGTATGTCATAACTGCAACAGGTACATAGATTTATGTGTCTTTTAGCCTAATGCCCTTGAGAGTGTGAGGAAGTAGGCTATGAATGACTACAGTGATAAACACGTTATATTAGATGAAAATTTTGAAGAATGGAAATGTTTGTGAATGAGAAGATGCTTGAACTCTCTGGAAAGCTGAGTAATGTCAACTCTATGATATTCCCAGACAGTGTACTTACCAAGAGGGGTCCTGAAATCTTCAGTCACCTGAAAGGGAAAGATGAAAGAATCCTGACATATTTAAAACAAATCAAGATCAAGTAAACAAAAGAAACCATGCCACTTATAAGCATTGAAGCACTGCAACTTTGTACATCTTTTCTAGAAGGGTCTAAGAGTCTCTGGAGTTAGCCGTGTTAATCTCTAAAGAACTGAACAGCCTATATATTCTCATATTAGTCCTTGAAAGCACCTGGGCATCAGACCTGTAATTACAAATCAATAATCTGAACAGGTGACAAAACTGTTCATCTAGTGTCATTAACTTTCACTTTATTATTGTTTCTGTGGGGAAAGACTCCTGCTTAAAACCTCAGCTGTCTCTGGACCACCTCCAACCAGCAATCTACTATAATTTGATAGAAGAAAACCATCTGTCCCCAAAATATCTTGCTTAATTCTACCACTAGAGATCTATTAATTTGGATTAATTAGTTTTTCTATTAAAGTGCAAATCTGCCTAAAAGAAGTAATATGTTAATCTGGCCAGGAGGAGGTAACCTGCAGCCTCGAGGCCACCTGTCACCTTCTAGGTCCTTGGATGCAGCCTTTTGACTGAGTCCAAGTTTTACTGAACAAATCCTTTTATTAAAGGGATTTGTTCTGTGAAGTTTAGATTTAGTCAAAGAGCTGCACTTGAGGACCTAGAGGGCCACATGTGGCCTCGAGGCCGCAGGTTCTCCACCCCTGATCTAGGCAATCAGTTACTGCCACTTCAGTGTGAATTTATTTTACCAAGTTGAATCACTCTAAAAAGCTAAGTGAGAGTAGTTGCCCTTGGGGAAATGAAAGTTTGACAGCTTAGAAGGAGGCATAGCGAAACAATTCAGAGAACAAAAACTAGAATATGGCAATGAAATGTTGGGGTTCCAGGCAGTAAGCAGCTGAGGACACTAGGATCAGAGCAGTGGTGGTATCAGAAGCATGCAAAAGCCAGGAAGGCAAGTGGGAAGATTCACACTTTTGCCTAAGGTACCTCTGTCCATGATGGTTGATGTTGGATTCACTGAAACTTTACCTTCTGAGGAGTGGCTACTCTTAGCGGCTGAATTATCTGCACTAGTTTCATCCACGTGTTGGGTTTTTGTTTTAAGAAGTCATTAATCTCTTCCAACATAATGTTCAAGGAGTTAGAATTCCCAGGAATCTCCAGGTCTAACATGGGAAAGGAGATGGATTCCAGAAAAGAGCCAAGGAAATTGTTCAAGCAGCTCCAGACTACCTGATGAATGATCTGCTGAAATATGTAATAATCATGATAATTAAAATAATTATAAATATAATTAAAATTATAATTATAATACAATGCAAGTATAATTACAAATATGTAGCCTGTCTGTCTCCATAAAAATGTCTGCTGTTTGGTGGGAAGCAACAGAAGCTGGGGCAAAGGTTTGCATGGGAAATAGGATAAAGCTCATAGGGTGCATTTTGGCAATCTCTCCCTTCCTCCTGACTCAGTACATTTATTTATTTTTTTTCTGACTCAATACATTTAAATGAAGTCACAAGGGATTGATAGGCTTTAAAGAGGATCTGAGACAAATAGAATTGGAAGCTGCCAGACCTGTGCATGCATCAGGAAAAGGGCCATAAAGCACTTCTTAGGTTAGTCATGTTTCCCCATTCTTTCAATTAACATATATTTATTATGCACTTATAAAATGTATAGGGTACAATGGTAGATACTGTAGATACAAAGAAGGATAAGACAAAGTCCCTAGCCTGATAGAGATACCAATTTGCTTGTTATCTAGTTGGACAGATGAGATGTGCACATGTGAAAAATTAACAATATAAGGACAAGGGCAGCTAGGTGGCGCAGTGGATAGAGCACTGGCCCTAGAGTCAGGAGGACCTGAAGTCAAATCTGACCTCAGACACATAACGCTTACTAGCTGTGTGACCCTGGGCAAGTCACTTAACCCTAGCCAAAAAACAACAACAACAACAACAACAAAACAAAACAAAACAAAAATCCCCATACAATGAAAGGACAAATATGCCAATAGACATCAAGTACTTGGGAAGTTGTTTCCCCAAAGTGGATTGGACCAAAGCAAACAGAAGGGAAGAAAGATTGATAATGGGCAGGGAGCCACAGGTAGGACTGGTCCATTTTCATTACTGACACCACTTCATTAGTTGATGATTAGAAAAAACATTATTCAAAACAGTAAAAGAAATTCCCATATAGGCGGTGCTTTGCAGTTTACAAAATACTCCCCACACAATAATTTGTGAGGTAGATAGGAGAGTTCAGGGTTTATTATCTCCATTTTAAAAATCGGGAAACTGAGATTTAGAGTAGTTTGCAACTTGCCCATATCTGCACAGCTGGCAAATAGGTTGGTACCAGGCCTTTTGACTCCTAAATCCAAAAAACCCAGCATTACACTAGTTTTGCAGAATAGGGTCAGTATGTTTGAACATGTTTGAATCAACTGGGATGGGAAATATACCTGACAGGCAGTATGGGCTAGTGGATAGATAGCAGCCTCAGAAAGCTCAGTCAAGAAGACTGGAGTTCAAGACCTACTCTCAAGACCCAATGACACATACTGAAGCTAGACATATCACCAAGATTCTCTAGTTTTCTTACACATTACCCTTCTCCAAACACTCAATGATCTAGATAAATTGGCCTCTTCAGGGTTCCACAAACTAAAAGCATAGATAGAATCCTATCTCTACTTTTTTTCTTGGCTATCCCAAACTGTGTGATTGAGAAAAAGACTATAAGATTTAACAGTTTAGAGAGTGTTGGTAGCTTTGGGGTTTTGTTTTGTTTTTTGGATTGTTGGTAACTTTGCAGAGAGCAGTTTTAGTTGAATGAAGTCAGAAGTTAGGCTGCAAGGGGTTGAGGAGTGGGAAGAAATAAAATGGAGGCAATGATTGTTGACTGCTTTTTCTAGGAGTTTGGTGAAGAAAGGGAAGAAAGGACTATAGCTTCAAGCGTTGGTAGGATTGAAGTGAAAAAAATATGAAAGGATGTTTGAAGACAATAGGGAAGGAACAAGTAGATATAGGGAAGAGCTTTTTTGATTAGCCAGTTCATCATTTTATACAATTTCAGAGATACTGGAAATAACCCTGAATTAAGGCAAAATTTAAAACAGTCTATTCCAATAAGATCCCACTCACCTGACTCCTCTCTAGAAGGTAGGTAAGCTTAAGGATACTCTCCAAGATGCAAGACAAGAAAGAGAAATCATACCCCAAAGGTCCTCACCTTTACCTCAGACAACTAAGGGTCTTAAAGTGAGAACATGATATTGGCCTGATAAAGATTAACTTATAAGCAGCACATGACATCAAGAAGTGGCCCCTAGACCACTAGTCCTACTTCCAGCCCAATCTCCTCAGCCATTATCCATTTTTCACCCATAGGAAAGCAACTCTACTGGACAAAGGATGAGTCATCCCCACCAAATGTCAATCAATCACCAACTATCGGACAGGTAAGCCAGCCTAGCTAAAGCAATAAAACACCCTGAGGAAAAGAAGGGAGTTGGCATGTGCCAGGCAAATCAAACCACTACTGCCACTTCAATCTCCACCTTTCCCCAGACCCCAAAGAAGATAAGCCCTGACCTAAACCCAAGAGCCTTGGAAATAGCAGCCAGTACCCCTAGAACACTGGCCCTGTTTCCAGCTCAGCTCCACAGTCATCATGAAAAGTAGTAATCACTGTTGAGATGGTTCATCTTTCTCACAATTACCACCAGCACCAACTGCTGACCAATTTCCCCTGATAGGCAGATAAACCTAAGAGGCCCAGTAAAGGCAGTACATATCATACCATGGTTTTGCTTCTAACCCAGCCCCTATAGCCATCATGGTAACAACCCTATGGAGATGCACCCTGGCAACTGCTTTTATGGTTACTACAGCCTGGCCTTAGCACCTGCAAGTACTAAAGATTTCGAGAAGAAAGTTCCCACCTCCAAAGCCTTTGGCATTATAAAATAACTAAACATCAGAAACTGATATTTTATCAGTGGAAGCTACATTAAAAAAATGCATTACCATCAGCTTTGTTCCTGTACCCTAAGGACTATGGGACTTTTCTATCTGACTTGCAACTGAAACCTCCTAAATGTGCAGTCTCCCAAATCATTAGAATGTGAGTTCCTTGAGAGCAAGGACTGTCTCACTATTTCTATTCGTAAGGCTAGCATTTAGTACAATCCTTTTGTAAGTGAGGTGAATTTTAGTGTGTGTAAGGTGGATTTTGTCATTCTTTTTAGATAATAGTTCCAGGATCCTAGATAATATTTCCCATGAATTATGGTTGAAAACATCTCCATCACGCTTGTGCAGTGAGATATAGAGATGACATAATGTGCGCCTGTGCTGTGCTAGGTCATGACGATATTGCTAAAGTTAAACTGGGAGCATAATGTTGGCAAGATGCCTTCTTTGTCTGCTGTCTTATAAAGCAAGTGGACGCTGGTCAGTGAGGGGGAAGCCCATTTTGGGATTTGGGTAATGCATAGAGGAACACATGTACCTGCCTGATTGGCCCCCATCAAGGCTTAGAGGGAATCTGTGTCTTCCTCAACCGGCTCCCATTGAGGTTTAGGGGATGAGAAGTTATACTCTTATTCTCTCCTGCCCCTGTGAGAAGCATGATTAGGGAATGCTGTAGGATTTGGTGCTCCCATTATCAGCAACCCTCTTTTAAGAAGACTAGACTAGAATAAAATAAGCTTATTTAACCCCTCTGAAGCTGTCTTCCTGTCTGACTGGATCAAAAGTGAATCTGTACCAGAACACCTGTTAGTGTTAGGAGCCCTCCTGCATTCTCCTGTCCAACAAATGGTGTTATCTGTGTGTTTACCTGTGAAACAACTTTACACATAATAAATGCTTAATAAAATCCCTTTTAATTCATCCATATTCCAACAAACATTAGGCCAAACCTTGCTGACTTCTAGGCGCCGTTGAACTAATCTTGCATCCAGGCAGATGATATATAGGATCTGGCAATGCAGACCAGGCAAGCTGGAAGCAGGAACGGTGATAATGTTTCCATGGAGGAGATCCTGGGCATCAAGAATGGTCTCTAGTGCTGCCTGGACCTGGGTAGATGTCTCCTGGACCCAACTCCTATTGTGGGGTTCCAGAATCCAAGGGAAAACCACCACATCTGTCTGTGAACAAAAGAAAAGCCCAGGAAGAAAGAAGAATGGAAATAACTAATAAAAATTAAGATAAATATCCTCTTTAAAAAAAAGTTTCTATCAAGTAATAGAACTTTAAACCATTTTCCCTCAGTCTTGAGGTTTCCAGAGCCCTCCATTTCTCTTTCCCTTAGCCCAAACAGGGATCCTTCATGTTCTAAAAAATCCCGGCAGAAAGAAAGTCTATAGTACTCCTTGGTCACCTTTTCCATGTCTCAAAATCTTCACTGACTAGATGTTCTTTCTTGTGTGTCTAACCTATTTTATATTGTTCTATTCTCAAAGGAGATAAAAAATAGCTTGTTATATCCTCTGAATTCCTTAGAATATTTAAGAACTATTACTGTTCTTCTTTAGGTTTCTCTTTACCCATAACTCTTTTAGCTTTCCCTAGATCCCCATTGCCCAATTGATCATTCCCATTGATCATTCCTGGACCCTTTTCAAGGCTGCATTTGGACTATTGATCTAAGGTGAACCAGACTCAATAGTGACCACTTACTTTCTGGCTAATGAGGCTTCCAACCACCACCTGGGTTATTACAGCTTCCCAGGAGCTCATGATGTAGGGAAGGAGGACATGGTGATCCTTTCCACGGGGCCACCACCTGCAACATTCCACCTCACACTCAGCTACAAAGTCATTATCATTTACTGCAATTGTCAGACTCTTCAGGCTGCTCCTTGTGGGCTGAACGCTCTTAAACTCCTTGACTCCCAGAATGATCCCCTTTGCTAGGGCTGCTGGACCTGTGGGGTGGATCACCAACGAAGCACTTTTCTCTTGGGATGCAGCTTGCAGTGCCAAAGTGACTGCACTGGCTGTCAGCTCCTGGCTTCCATCTATAGAAGCTGGCTTCCTCCTTGAGCTAGGTCCAGCCCAGGAAGATAACAGCACCACTTGTAGGAGCACCTGGGGTATACCTCGCTTATTCAGGATATGCTGCCTCAGCACCCTTACCTTGGGCACTGCTTTGACTTCATTATGTCTGTCCAGTGGCCTACTGCTAATGCTCATGGTAACAGAGGCTCGGAAAGTGGAAGCTTCTCCTTCCCAGAGATAGAGATTAAGGTCATCTCCTACCTGGAAGAAACCACTCATCCTTCTTTGCTTTTGAATAAGACCAGGCCATGGATTCATTCTCACAGTGGAATTGAGAAGGATCAACAGTTTACTGATGGCAATCTTGGCATTAGAAGTCACTTTCTGGGAACCAAAGAAGGAAATGATTGCTGAGTCCTGGACTATTTGCCAGTCAACTTTCACCTTCCAAAGAGACAAATCCAGTGTTCCCTGTAGGACCTTCCATAAATGAAACTCCTCAAGGGTCACATATAGAGTCTCATTTGTGCTTGGATATCTCTGAAGGTGATCCGGAGTCATCCAATCTTTACTGTCCCTGCTATATGCTGAGGAGCCTTGTGGATGTCTCCCTGAGACTCTCATAAGAGGACCATGAGAGAGTTTGACTGTTTCCAAGCTGAATCTGGGATCCTTTAGTTGTTTATCATCTGAGACTCTTTCATAGCAGCTTCTTAGATGATATCCATTGCAGGTCACAGGTCCAGACATGTTTGATCCAACCTTTTTACTTCTAGTCCAAAATTCAAAAGCCACCTATCAGATTCCCCAACCTCGCTGAAAAAGTTCAGAAAAGAACTTTGTGTAAGACAAATAATCACAGCCTGATATTGATAATAGCTGTGTAATTAGCAACCCCTGTGAGAGAGAATCCTCAGGTGAATTTACCAGCTTGCATTCTGAAAGGAGCTGTGCTGGACCAGGTTAAAATTTGATTTCTGGCTTTCCTTGCTTCTCTCTCTCTTCCTGAGCATCTCTGTTGTCCCCCGTCAATTAAGGTTGTGGGAGTGGGACTGGAGGAATAAGAGGGAAGAAAAATTAGTTTAAAAAAAGAGAAAAGCCACAGAAGTAGAGCATATCCAGTCACATAATCTCACCATTCTTCAGATGGCTCTGTGGTTTGGGGGTTCATTCAGTGATTTTGAGCTCACTGGGAGGAATTCATTACACTGGAAACAGAGATTTAGAAAAAACAAAACACCAAATCTGTCACACACATTCCATAGCACTTTTATTAAAAAAAATTAAATATTAAAAAAAATCACATACCCAGCAAAAGTGATACTGCCTCCATCATTCTTTCTTACGAAAAGTCACTTTTCCCCAGCATAGATATTCCTGTGACCCTCCTACTGACTGTCCAGGATGTTCTTCCAAATGACTCTTCTCTCCTTTAATTTAGAGACCTTCCTACAATCAGCAATCAACATGCCAAGCTCTTAAAAGACTAGAAAACTTTATTTCAGTTTCATTTCCTTGAAAACTTACTCAATGGCTTTAACCCAGGAGGTGGGGTTTAAAAAGCAAATATATATAAAAAATATACGGATGAGCTTATCAAACTTCAACATTTTCAAGATGAAATGAGAATAAGGATAAGTGAGGAGAAAACAGCTGAGAAAATTTGGGAGCTTTAAAATTAAGATCAAGTTCCTTCCCAAAATTTCTATTCCAGCAGTGTTTTAACTTTCTCAAAACTGAAACTGAATCACTCCCTAGCCCTCACATTCTTCCCAGGCGGCTCAGTAAGCAACAATCTAGTGGCAGCTGCTTTACCCAGAGAGCAAGGGAAAACTAAGGAAAAATCTAGAAAGTAATAAAAACAAGGATAGAGCTTATGGGGAAATGTTAAAGGACTTGGGGGCTTATTCAACCTGCAAGAGAGGAAACTGAGGAAAAACTGAATAATGATTTTCAAAGTATCAACAGGTTCTACTACCATAGAAAATAGTAACTAGCTTTTGTCTTTTCACTGTCTAACAAATGAGACGATGGGTTTTGATGCAGCTAGATTGAAGTAGAATGTCAGACTTACTTGGCAATCCTTCCTCCACAAACCCCCCAACTCCCAGTCCAGAGGTGTCCTGAAAAGCATGTGTAGTAGTGTAGTATAATGGTATAATAAAGGAGGCAGTGTATGGTATAATAGAAAGACCACAGGTTTGGGAATCAGAAGACCTGGGTTCAAATCTTTGCCTTTGATAACTACATCATCTGTGTGAATTGGACAAGAGATTTAAGTAATCTCTTTGAGTCTTGGTTTTTTATCTATACAATGAGGGAGTTGGACGAGGGCTTCTGAGAGCCCTTCCGGATCTAAATCTATGGTCATAGATTTAAGTCATAAATCTATGGTCACAGATCTAAGGGCAGATCAGTTGGTCAATCACATTTATTAAGGACTTGCTATAAGCCAAGCACTGCGCTTAGGAAAAAAAGGCAAAAGACAGTCCCTGCTCTCAGGAAGATTACAATCTCACAAGGAGACATCATGCAAACAACTATATCCAAAAGAGCTATCAAAAAGATAAATTGGAAATAATCCACAGAGGGAAGGTACTGGTAATTAGGAGGACTAAGAAAGTCTTCCTGGAAAACATAAGATTTTAGCTGGGACTTGAAAGAAACCAGGGAAGCCAAAAGGAATAAATGAGGAGGGAGAGAATTCTAAGCTCTCCAGGGACAATCAGTCCAAGTCAAGAGATGGTGTATCTTGTTTGGAGGAGGATGGGGAGGAAGGTGAAAGAAGACTGAAAAAGGAGGGGAGTAGGTTATGAAGGGCTTTGGATGCCAAATAGAGGATTTTATATTTGATCCTGGAGGAGGTGGTGAGCCACTGGAGTTTACTGAGTAGGGGAGTGATTGTAGTTAGACTTACACTTTTAAGAAAAAAGGAAAAAAAAATTTAAAAGAAGAAATGGAGGGAAAGGAATGGAAGGAAAGTAAACAAACATTTATTAAGTATTAACTTTGTGCCAGGCATTGCGCCAAGTGCTTTACAAATATTATCTTCTTTAATAATGAGAGGACTGGGAAGAGAACGAAAGGTGGTAGCAGGGACATGTAGTAAAGGTAAATAATAAAGGGCAATAGAACGTGGAGTAAGCAGAGTCTCAGTAAAAAGGAAAAATAAATACCTTAAGAAGGGAAAAACTGAGAAAGGAAACAAAGTATCACAAATGTGGGCTGGGAGCTTTGATAGGAATCAAGAGAGTTCAAACAAGGGATCTCAATGTAGACTAGTGACCAATCCAACCATTCTTTCACCTGTCTTCCTGTCCGTAGATGACGGGGAGAAAAGTTGCAGAGTATAGTGGGAAGTGGGCTTGATTTAGAGTCCAGGGATCTGTATTCAAATTCCACCTCATCTGCTTGCACCCTGTATGATATTGGGCAAGTTTTTGGATGTCCTTTTTGCTTAATGCCTCTGGGTCTCAATTTCCTCAACTAAAAGAAGTTGAAACTAAAAGAAACTCTGAAGTCACCTTCTAACTTTACATCTATGATCTTGTGAATAATTTCCAAAGAACATTACCAACCCTGGGAAGTCATATGTTGCTTCAGGCTAGAGGTAAAATACGACCCAATAACCATGTTGAGGGCATTCCTGAGTCCACTGGGTGCCAGATCCTCTCTCTTCCTTTTCACTTGCCTTTCTTCCTGGAGTGCTTTTCTTTGCTGTGCCTAGACTAAGAGGCACCCTCTGAACATCTCTACTATCAGAGAAACAATGCTTGTGCTGGCTCCAACACTTCTTCTTAATTTGGAGATCATAGTAATTACTTTTAAAAATTGTAAAGATTTTTTAAATTATCCATACTTTTTAAAAAGTTATCCGTACTTCATTGTCTCCAATGTCTCATCATCCACTTACTTTTCAGCTACTTATAACCTGGCTTCCAACCCCATTGTTCTCCTGAAACTTCTCTCTCTAAAATCACTAATGACCTCCACTACTAAGTCCAGTGTCCTTTTCTCATTTTCCTTCCCGCTAGTTCTATCTTCTGATTTTACACTGTAAATCATCTCATCCTTAGAGATATTCTTTACTTCCTTGGCCTCCTTACCATTATTTTCAGTAGTTAGGTAGCACAGTGGATAGAGCACTAGATTTGGAATCAGGAAAATCTGAGTTCAAATCCTGCCTTAAATATTTAACTAGCTGTGTGACTCTGGGCAAGTCAATTAACTTTAGTCAATTAACAGCTGTAAAAGGGTGCTAATAATAAAACCTACCTCTCATGGTTGTTAGGAGGATAAATTAAGATATTTGTAAAGCACCATATAAATGCTAGCTATTACTATTGTCCTTCCATCTGTTAAATCCCTCCACATTCTCTTTTGCTAGATTATCATCCATCTCCTACCCTCTAAGGATGGGTTTTTCCTAAGGCTCTATACTGCACCTTTTTTTCTCTACAACCTCTCCTTTGGTGATCTCATCTGTTTCCTTAGTTCATTTGTCATCTTTATACACATAAAAAACTGAAGTAAGACCACATCATACAGGCTACAAGTAAATACAGTTTATCTTTATTCTTCATGACCTACAGATGACTCCCACATCAAATGAGGGCCCTTTATTTTACAGATAAGGAAACTGAGGCCCAGGAGGTTAAATAACTTATACAAAGCCCTATTAGAAGTAAATGACAGAGATAGGATTTGAACCCACATCCTTTGACTGTATACTTTGACCATGTCACTCCTCTGCTCAAAAATCTTCAGTGGCTCCCTTTTACCTCTGGGATAAAAAAAATTATTCTTTCTAGAATTTAAAGCTCTAAACAGTTTGGCTCCATCCTGTTTTTCCTAACGTATCCATTATTGGTCCTCTTAATGTACTCTATATTTCAGTCAAACTGGCCTACTTAAACTGTTCCCTGGACTTAGCATTCTATATCCCTTCTTGCCTTTGCATAAACTTTTCTCCCTCCTTCCTCACCCACCATTCCTGAAATGCCCTCGACCTTCATGTCTTCAGCTTAGAATCCTTTTCCTTCAAGGCTCAGCTCAGGTACCATCTCTTATGGGAAGCCTTGCCTGTCTCCACCCCCCACCCCCACCATTGTCAGTGCTGTCTCCCTCAGGTGATAGCAAATTACTGTGAATGGACAAAGAGGAGTGACGGGATGGTTACACGGGGAAGACAGGAAATATATATACATAACATACATATAATAAATATTATGTTATATGATAATATCTATCTATATATATAAAATAAAGGTGGGGTGGAGTAAAGAAGAGATGGCAATCATTGGGAGAGGACTGGAAGAGGTAGAACTAGGGATAAAAGAGAAGAAAGGTAATAACTGAGGGATAGGTGGGGAGGGAAGGGAAGAAGGGGAAGGGAGCTGATTTCTCTCCATTAACCTGAATACACTAAGAATGGGTAGAATAAATCACAAGATCTTGACAATTATATCCCCTGCTAATTCATGCTATTAAAGCTCACAAAGCCCTCACTGTTACTCTGCAATCCTTCCTAGTATTATGATAACTAGAATATAAATAGTGTAGGGAAATTTTTTCTTATATATTTTCCAGAAAACCTTATTTCTCAATGTTATTTGAACCTACCTTGATGTGGCAAGAAATTGGTTGACCTTAGAGATGCTTCCAAGAAAGTGGGATGGCTGCAAGGAATGCTTGAATCTCCCCCAGGTATTAGGGTCCACCCAGTGCTTGTTTTGGAGGTTCCCCAAATTTCAACATTTATGCTTACATTTCAAGCAATTGCTACCTGCAGTCTTCATGCTGATACTCTTCTCTGAACCCATATACAATATAAACCTCAAAGAGACTGAGGAGGGAGTTCTTCTGGCTTTCTTCCCTACCAAATGATCTAATTTCTTTCTAAAACTATTTCAGATTTTGGGGTTTGTTCTCATGATTAACACTAGCATTTATATAGCCCTTTAAGAGTTGTGATGCACTTTACAAATGTTATCTCACAGAAACACTGTTTGGTGAGTGTTACTATTATCATCATTTTACAGATGAGGAAACTAAGGCAAGACAGGTTAAGTGGCTTGCCCAGGTAATAAGTGACTGAGGTAGAATTAAGACTTGAGTCTTCTTGACTCCAGGACCAGTGCTTTGTACACTTCTCACCACAGCTTTCTCAAACTTTATTTCTACTTTCCTTCAAGCCACCAACCCTATACCCCACCCTTTTCACTCTCAACATAAGACCTTGTTTTCTCCTGTGCTAAAGTCAAGGCTCTTTGATTTGCGCTTTCTCAGCTTTCCTCCTTCACTCTTAGAAGTCTAGTTTCAGCCATCTTTTCTTCTTTCTTGTCTCAGAGGAAAGTCTAGTCACATCTACTAGTCAGTCTCAGAGGAAAGCTGTCACATCTCCTTTCTAAGGCTATCCTCTATCACTTATGACCTTGTTTTGTTTCTTT